TCTCTCATCGCATGGTGGGATATGTATACATGTGAGCTCACCAGCCACCGGGGAGCCCACACGTGGTGCCCTCAGCGCCCTCCACAACAATGTCCATCGCGGTCCATTGGAAACAATGATACTGTTGCTGTGCATGTACCAGACACGCGTAGGGCCAAGCCATTCCCTCCTCAGACCCTCACAAACTAAAAACAAAAAAAAGTGGAATAATCCTCTGTGCCACTGGCCAAATCCTAAATTTATCGATAATAGAAACTAAACAAGATGGAAATAAGAAAGGAATGAATGGGATAAGAATGGGGATTCAACACAAACTCAAACTGCAACGCCAAGTAAGCTTATATATATATTTATTTAATTAATTATTTACTATTCACGAGGTGGCAGACTTTGGGGTCCTGCAGCCACAAGACCACGCCGCGAGTGGTGGGAATCAAAAAAGGGGGTTGGGTGCGACAAAAAATGAAAATAAAAATTTATCCGGCCGCTTTCGGTTCCCTACTCCTCCCCCCTTTTAATAGTCGTGTTCTTCCCAAAGTTCATACGGTAGGAAAAATTGACGTAAAGAAATGTCTATTCGTTTTGCCAGGATGTATACATATTTATAAGCATGCATTAGGGTTAGCCGGCGCTACTCGCAATCACTCACTTCACAAGCTCCTAATAAAAGCAAAAGGAAAAAAAAAATGGGATTTCCGGCTAACTCCAACAATTAACTTCGCTCTCCCTATGAAGCTGCACTCCTCCGCTTCCGCCCGCTCACAGTAGCACCACGGCTCCCACCACAAGAGCAAGCACCAAAGAAAGAAAGTAAGCGTTTCGCCAGGCTCTTCCGCTTCTTGTTGCCCCGATGTGATTGCTCGCAGGCCGCCTCAGCCCGAAAGATGGGGACAACAGCGGTGCCACTCAATTCCCCCGCAACCCGTGGCCCCAATGAAGTACTTGTGGGGTTATCACTTGATTTCGTCATTGCCAACCCTCTCCGATCCAGCGGAAGCACCTCTCTTTGGGAATTATAAGGAATGTTCTCCTTTTTACTCATCTCCCTCTCCTCTTCATTCTCCTTCTTCTCCTTAATAATCCCCCTCTGCGCCTCAGATGCACTTTCTTCCCCCTCACTCAGCGCCGCAACCGAAAATTTCATGTTGGTAGAAAGAAGCGCAGATGAGGCGTAAGAATAAGCAGAGGCAGTCTGTCTTCCATCCTCCGTGGAGCTTTGGGAACTTAAGTACGAGGAGGAAAAAGAAAATTCATATGACGATGACGACGAAGAGGAGGATGATATAAAAGGATGGACATGCCTCGGCTTCAAAGAAGCAAACGAGCCTTGATGATCGTGTTGTTCCCCCATTTTTATGACTGTTAAATTTGTTGCAAGTTGGGAAGGAGGCCCTACATCCACCGGGGCGTCTACCGGGTCGGCATCCTGCTCCACACAAACTGGAGACTGTTGCAGCCGCTGCTTGCCTCGTTCTTCTGCTTCCTCCTCCGTCTTGCTGAAGTGCTCTGCTGCTTCTGGCAAAAGAACATGCTGAACAAATGGCCGCCAGATCGCTTCCCTACTATTACCATCCTTTGCATTTGCCTCCTCCTGCCGCTGCAGTTGACGGTGTTGTCGTTGTTCTTGGCACCGTCTTATTTGTTGCCTCATTCCAGGCAAATTAAACATCTCCATCTGCACTAAGACGGATGGAGGAGGCGGTAGCGAACGCCTAAACGGGCATTGCTGGCGCAAGGCCGCCGTAACGGGATGCACCTCGCCCCTCGCTGCCTCCTCCAATGCCGCCATGTGCATCAAGCGCAATTCTGCCGCCTTTTCCTCCTCTACAATACACGTAGCCGTCCTTGGCGACAAAAAAAGTCCACGAAATACACTTGCGCCCGGTGAATCCCAACAGCCCCATTCACCTGCGGCGTGAAGTACGGCAGTAGTAAGCTCCTCCGTCTGACGACGAAGCCCGCGAACGGTTGAAAGAAGCCTCAAGCCACGCTGTTCTTCTTCCGTCAAAAGCGTTTCAGATGAGCCACGACGCTGATTGGCAGATGTAGGATTTTCTTCTTCTTTTCGTCCACTCGCATGATGAATACAACTTTCATATATCATTGTCGGTGCTGTGGCAGGATTGATGAGAAGGCTTGAATGAAACGTGACGGCCTCCTCATGTTCATGTGGTGATGATGATGCATGGACAACCTCCTCATTGACGCCACGGCACTCTCGTTTGGTGTTGTCGTCGTTATGACTCTTTTCATTTTCGCCCCCACTCCCTGCCACCTTTTCTGTGGATGTGGCCCCTGCTGCTGACGGCAACTCCCCCGCAGCTTCTAGTGGGGTCTCCAACGTCGGAGCAGCTGCTGGCTCGCTGAAAAGCGGTTTTCTATACATATTAGTTGACAAATAGCAACCAGAAGCAAACCTAGACTTCAAAAGTTTTAATGCAACCTGCACCCCGCTTTCCACTTTTGTGGGGCCACTGGCCTCCCTCCTGACGGAAAGAAACAGTGGGGAAACACTCGAGCGTTTTGATGGGAGTGGTGCGGCGGTGTTCATTACCGGCTCCGTCGTTGCAAGCGTCCTCAACGGCCTCTTCATTATTTCGTTGTAGATCTGTCGCTGCAGATTCATCATGCACCCCAGTCGCGTTGTGTGAGAAATGAGCCGCGCCACCTCTGCGCGGTTCGCATCGCGTCTTCGGCGGTAGTCGTCCTCCCGCCTTGACATCTCCACGCGTTGTGAATTGTAACGCTGTCTATAGATATCGTGTGTCGGCACGTCACTCAAATAGTGTTTTTGCTTCTTGCATGACGCTGTTGGCATCGCGGCAGGGCCGTCGGAGCCAAAAACCCTGCCGCTGTCGGCACCATCACCCGATGAAGCCACCACCTGTGGAGCAGTGCTGCCTGCCTCCTCGCTGCCGGGCACTCCAAAAGACGACGCAACTGTCGGCGTTAAATCCACACCCGTCATTATTGGCGCTGCGCCACGCGGCGTGTTACGACAGTTGGAGTCAAACAGGGTCCATGTTAGGAGGCTGTTTGTATCGGAATCTCCTACGACGTGCCGATGGATGCTCGAGAGACCCGAAAAGGGCAGTGTGGCATGACGTGTTCCTTCCCGCTGTCCTCCACTTCCATTCGTTGCAGCGTTTGCTGCCGAAGAAGAACTACTTGTGCACGGCTGCTTCAGTGATGACTCCTGTGCAGTCATCCGCGGGGAGGCGCTCCACCTGTCACCCAAGCGACTTGACGCAAACTGGCTTTCACTCAGAGCAAAACGTCGCTTTGCATCCCGCAGACGATCAATTGCGGGCGTTGACCTCAATGGTGGCAACTCCTCGACTGCCATTGTCATTAGCTTGAAATATAAGCGCAGTCTCCAATTATCCTCTTTCTAAATTTCCATTTATATCATACATACATGCAAGTACGTATGGATCTATAATATCTACGTATGTATGCCGGCGTCTCCTTGAAGGTTCCTGCAGACACCGCTTTAAGAGCGCCCACAAGTAACAACACCAAAACCTGCAAAAAGAAAAACACGCAAGCTGAGGGAAATGTGTGGGTGTGGCGGGTGAAGGAAGAAATGCACGCATGGAAGGATAAATGCACATGCCCTGCAGAATTTTCTTCCCCCATCCACTCCTTCTTTTTTCCTTGTTTCCCCCTTTTTTTTTTTTTTTTTTTTGCTTCCGGCATCCAAAAACTCAACACTTTGCCAACTCAAATTCCTCCAGATCGTAGTAGCAGCCAAGCAGCATCATCGTTGTACTCAAAATGATGCAGTAGTGCCAAAAACCGTGACTATTCCACGTGTAATCAATCTCCTCCCCCGATACCACGAAGCGCCCAAGCCACCGCCAACAGCGTGACGTGACAGTTGCTTCCGGGGACGATGATGATGTTGGCAATAACCGCGTGGCGCGACGCAGATGCTTCTCAGGAAAACGAAGTGCATTTATTACCGCGCCCAGGGCAAGAAAAACAAAACTCATCGCATGGCAATGAACCGCCTGGTGGTACCCCTGCGACTGCACTTTGGGCAGCTCGACCCACAGGAGAATCAAAAAGCGAAGGACAGAATGAAATCCAATCGCCTTGAAGCGACCAAAACTCCCACATGATGCGTTAAAAACTGCCCCGTAGAGTACAAACAAGGCTGACAAAAGAAGCGCCCCCATGCCAACATGGCAACTCCAGTTTTGACTGCACGCGTTGCCTCGGTAGACAAGACTCCACGAGGTGCCCGTGATGCATATGACAACACCAAACACATCACAGCTCAGCAGGCGTCGATACAATGACTCTGAAGTTGTGCACGGCATAAAAAGATGGTACACCACACTGCAAATGAATATGAAAAAAAATACAAGGCATGTACAACGAAATGTTGTCGTGGAACTTGCGCCAAGAAGATGTTCACTACTACTCCCCAGCCAACGGCGGTCATGCGGCGTCAAAGAGACATCCGTGGCAGCTATCCCGCTCGTACCAACGCCACAACCGCTAACGGTGGAAGTGGTGGATATCTCCATGGTTGGCGGAAAAAGAGCCAAGTACAACACAAAACACGCAGCAAGAGCATGCGACCAGACGTTAAACGACTCATTATGCCACTCAAAAAAGGAACGCAACGCGGCACGAACAGACATGCGGGGACGATAACCAGAAACAATATGCGGATTAAACTGCAGCCATGGATCAACCTGCTGAACCGTTAATAGCTCATGCATTATATGCCCACAGGAAAAAGGCTCAAAACCTTTCCCTTTTCCCTCCTATCTCCTTCTCTCTGTATTATCCACCTCCCACCCTTGCCACTGGGGCTAAATCCCTACAATTGCCAACAAAAGCAACACATGCATGTGCCGATAAAAAATAAATTTATTTTTTTTTTTTTAAGCGCACTTCTGGTGCCCCAATTATCCCCGGGAGAGCACAATCACCCCATATCCATAGAGAGAGAGAGAGAGAAAGTTTTATTTATTGAAAATACAAAATTAAAAAATGTGAATTTGCCCAATGGTGTGACGACGCTGAGCACGGACGGCATCCACAGCCTCCTTATGTGCACGAACAAACCGTGCATGTACAGGAATGTCTTCCTCCACAGATGTGGCGGCATTCGACTGGTGACTACAGGAAACAATGGTTGTTGTGGGAAGACGCAGCACGTGCAAATACTGAAGACGAAGTTCCTTCTCACGCTCTAACACGTCACGTAATTTTTCCTCCACTGCCTTCTTCGCCATAATTGCCGCGCGTTTCTCCTCTTCGGCCAAATTTATTGCGGCAGTGGTGCGGGATGACTCACGCTGACAATTTTCCGCCAACTCACGCAATTGCCGAAGAGCAAGAAGGGATTGCCACTCAGAGTCCTTCACCTCTTCACGGTGTCTCACCTCGTCCAGGATAAGTTGATGGAAAGTGTTATCCTCAAACTGGGAGTAACCCCGCGCAGCGCGCAGAAACCGCTCATGTCCGTTGCGGGTTTGCTCAGTCGACAGCGTTGCGGTTCGCCATGACCCCAGCAAAGTGTGGAGCATTGACCTTAACTCTGCCTCATGATCAAACAGACTTTGCCGGCATGTCAACTCTAATCGCTCCAACTCTAGCCTGTGCTCGTCCCTTGCCGCCGTCAGATATGATATAGCAGCCTTGTGTCTCTCCTCACCCTGCTTTATTCGCTCCTGTGCCGACGTGAAAGCGAGTTCCATCGAAATTTGACGTGTCTCAAGAAAATTGTTACGGCATAATTGCTCCTGTAAAAGTGTCGTTTTCTGCAGGAGCTCGTGCGACTGCCCTTCCCACTGCGCCCCACTCATCTCTGTGTTGTTGGCGGCATCCACAAGAACCGTTGGTATAGGCGACGTTGCACGTGTACTCTTCACAGGTGCCGTCCATGTGCCAATGGAGCGCTGCTGCGGTGAATATGCACGGTGGATCGTCTCTGCATGTGCGCTTTCCTCCGTCTGTGTCGCGACCGTTGACCGGTTTGCCTCCGTCCCGATGACTGAGGCGGCATGCGGAAGAGGGGGAGGGGAAAGAGGAGCAGACACGGCGTCAGAGCCCACGCGGCGGTCCCTCGGCCCTGCGGCTGCAGACGATAAAGGAGGCAGGTTGGAAAAACGTAGCAGCCGCGGAACTTCCATCAAAATATCCTCCTGGAATGTGTAAAAGGTGGTACAATCACGAGAGCGACTGCTCGCGTGGCTCGGGGCGGTGTCCTGCGAGTAGTAGCAGGACGGGTACACGGAGCAGGAACAACTGCGGGAAAAGCAAGAGGAGCAAGAACAACATGACGGTGATGATGACGACTGTCCAACACCGCGGCAGCAGCTACATCCACCATCGGACGCGCTCCAGCTTGTCCTCTCCGAGCAGCTGCAACTCGCCGTCAGCGCGGAGCAGGAGGAAGAGGCGCACGCCCTGCGCATTTCACCCGGTGATTTCACCGTCTTTCCCCCGCCTCTCCGTGTGTGTATGTGTGACTTTCTTCCTACTCCTCTCTTCCTCGCTCTCCCCTTCTCCGCCCTCCACGACAGAAACGGCAGCAGCACACGCAGAAAAAGAGAGAGAGAGAGGAGACAAATGGTGAGCCCACACGGAAGGGCATCCATGCATCCAGCAAGACGGCACAAACTGCCTTTACACCAAAAACACACACAAAAAAAAAAGGGGGGGGAGAAAAAGGAAAAGACATGTGGCCCGCATGAACACCCGGAAAAAAAAAAAAAACAAGAAAAAACAGAGAAGCAAAAAAAAAAAAAAAAAAGGCGGGAAATTCAAAATGAAGAAGCCAGTGGCATTTGATGCGTGGATGAAAACTCAGTGCCGTCACTCCTTCCCACCCCTCCCCTACAGACACAAACCCACAAGCCTCCAATAAAGAGAGAAAGAAATGTAAAAGGAAGAGCAGGCACCTTTTCGCAAAACCCTGCAGGACAAAGAAAGAAAAAAGGACAATAAGAAACCACGGAGAAGAAAATAACTGGCGAAGGTTTCGCACACGCGTAGTTGCCGGTTATTGTTTTGTTTGTTTTTTTGTTTCCCTTCTTCTTCTCCCCCACCCACGCACACCCCCTTCAGATCGCACCATTCAAATATTACTCGCTGTGTGTAGTGCAGCACCAAGAAGGCTGTGTTTGTGTGTAAAGGCCATAAAATGTTTTTTTTTTCCTTTTTTTTTTTCTTTCTTCGAATCCATCCATTTCTGTTTCATCTTTTCCCTTCCTCTTTTTCCTTTCGTTATTGCCGCTTTCCTCTCATCAATGGCCATTCATTCCATCTTATTCTCTTGTTTCACCCAACCAACCAACCAACCAAACTCCCCACATACACCGCCTTCCACTTACATAAATTCTCACAAAACAAAACAAAAACAGAAAAAAAGAAAAAAAAAACAAAAAAAAAAAAAAGAGATCCAAATACGCACGCAGCCCGGTATAATAAAATGTATACATGCATATATATATATATATAGAGAGAGAGAGAGATAGAGATAGAGAGATATATAAAAAGATATATAATTGGTTGTATTGCACTCATTTATAAAATACATGAATGCAGGCATATGTGTGTGTGTACAGGCATATCTCTTTGCTTTTGTATTTAAATAAATTCATATAAATTTATTCATTTATTTATTTATTTATTTATACAACAACAACAAAAAAAAAAAAAAAACACGGATCTTTCAAAATGGATGCCTGACTGTACTCAAATAAATACATACGTACACACACATATATTTATATTTTTTTTTTTTTTTTATTTATATCTGCAATGACCAAAGAAATGGGGAGCAAAAACAACAACAAAACAACACAAAACAAAAAACAAAAAAAAATATTCACTTTAATTATATCCCTCTTCTTCCAGGACAAATCATATACGTCAGGCACATAAATATAAATATATAAAAAAAAGGTGGCGGTGTGTGGAGGAGGAGGAGGAGGAGGAGCGTCCCAAAAAAAAAAAAAAAAAAAAGAAAATAAAAAAAAAAAAAAGGATGCATGCACTCAAAAACTTATTTATGTAAACAAAAAGAGAGAGCAGGAGGGGGGGGAAAAAAAAGGGGGAGAAGCCGCATGAAGCCGTAAGCAAACACGTTTGAAAAAAAGAGAAGTGGACAGTCAACTGCATCCAAATGAGTCCGTCCAAAAAGACACTCATTTACAGACGACTTACAACATCACTTCTCCATAATAATAAAAAAAAAAAAAAGAAGAAGAGCCGCACAGCATTACGCAAAAGAAAAAAAAAAAAAAAAAAGAAAGAAAGAAAGAAAGAAAGAGATAAAACTGCTGTGAGAACATTTAAAACTATATCCCTCCACACAAACACACACACACACACACACACGCAGTTACACATGCACTGAAATATATATTTCAATTGTATCATTCCTCTTGTAGCCCATCATTGCTTACATAAACATACATAAACATACATACATACATACAACCTTATCTATCCGCATACGTATATATTTATATTTATATTTATATTTATATACATACGGATAGATACTTGCGGAAGTGCATGGCCACGCAAAAAATAAAATAAAAATAAAAATAAAAATAAAACCAATAAAAAACAAAAATAAAAATTCGTGGAGAAGGCGACACAAAAAGGGAGGGTGGGGAAGAGGATAAAAAATCCAAATTTGCATTGTTTCTTTTTCATCATTTTCTTCTCTACTATTTATTTTCTTTTCCTTCTTCTTCTCCCCCTCCCCTCGTATGTGTCTGTCTTTGTTTTTTTCTTTGTTTGTATTTATTTTTTTTTGTCGTCATGGCGAGTTCTTTCGGCTCATGTATCATTTGCGTACATCATCATCATCATCATCGTCATCGGGCTAATCCTCAAACATCATAAAGAGGGAGCCGCCACGCTTGCGGGACTCCATCACAGACCGCATGATGCTCTGCCGCTCCAGGGATCCCACGCCGTAGAGCTGCGTGGAAAGCTTGTCAACAATGTCGAGGGCATTAATACCTTTTGTGGCGGCGCCAAGTTCAAACTGCACGTCGGCTTGAATAAGAAACACAGGGAATAAAAGCAGCGCGTTCTCTTCGTCGAAGCTCTTTCCCAAGAGGACGCGATCGTTGTAGTTGCAATTCCTTTGGGCGGCAAACTTCAAAGAACGTTTTTGTAGCTGTTTCTTCCGTTTTTCGTCCACCATGCCGCATTGAATCTCGAGGTTATAATTCGTGCCGGGCACAACACGGCGGATCTCATCATCAATCCATGTAATGTACCGCAGTGTAGGCGCCTGTTGTGGCGCAGGTACTTCACGGCATAGTGAACGTCGGTCATAAACCATTTGGAGGTGCACCTTGATGGGGCATTCGTCGCGATCTGTCAACATATCGATTTCATTGGCACTCCTATTGCCCGTCGACCTATTGTTCTGCTCTTCAAATAATGTGTTGGTACGAGTCTTACCATTGGCAGTACCCATACGTTCATTTGTAATGGACGTCGTGGAGGATTCGGCATCCAATTCCTCCATAATGCCCTCAAGAAAAGAAAGCACAACACTGTTTGAAAGGCTCCGCGCACGGCGCTTGGCAACATTGTACAGCTCCTCCTGGATCTTTGCGCATGCCACCACAGCAGTGTCAAGCTCCTTCTTGTGTTTCTTTTCACTTTTTCCTTTTTTAAACCTTTCGGAGACGATGAAGACGGAGTTTGCCATGGCAGAGACCCAGTGCATACGTAGAAACTGTTCAAAACAATCAAGTATGGAATCCCGCTCAACGTCAGACACCATCATAAAGCCTTGGTGTGCTCGACGATTCCCTCCCCCAGCGTTGTCAGCGCCTGCGTCAGCCGTCGACCCCTCCAGCGGGTTGGACGAATTGGCGGATTCCTCCGCTTTTGTCATGCGGGCGATCTGAAGAAATTTTAACATTACACGTGTGTGGGAAGAGAGAAAGTCCATGTGCGGCGTCGCCTCCTCGTATCGGCCTTCTGCCATGTAAGATTCCGCAATATCGGCACGCAGCACAAGATAATCCACGACGTCCGCCAGCCGGCTGTCCAACGGAATTTCAATCTTCCCAGAGCCACCCACGCCAGCCGCCTCCCCCATTTCAACATTCACTTCATTTTCTTCCTTCAACGAATCTTTTCTTACTTCTGGAAAAGCGGCTTCTTCCTGCCCTCCATCCCGATATGCTGTCTTCTGCTTTGCATCCGTTCCTTTTTGGCCAGCCTTGTCCCTCCTTTCCCACTCTATAAGATCATCAAGGCGGGTCCAAAAGGAATGGCCCTCGTGCCTCTCAATGGCCTGGTCGTAGTAAATCTCGGCGTACGTGTAGCGTCCCTCCTGGAGGGACTTGTAGCCTTGTTGGAACAGCTGTGAGTGGCGGTTCTCCCCGACTGAGGCGCCGTTTCCCATTTTTTGCCTTTTCTTGTTGTTCCTGGGGATTATATTGTTTTTGTTTGTGTGTTTCCTTTCTTTAACTGCTACTACTTTAGCTTTTTTATTGTTCTGCCAATTCGGGGTAATGTCTGTATATATATATATATAATTGGCTGAACTGTTTGAGCTTTCTCTCTCTCTTTTCTTCTTTTGCCGGTTGATAACTTTATTGCTGTGTGATGTGTTGTTTCTTCCGTGGGAGTAAGAGAGAGTGTGAGTGTGAGTGTGTTACGTCGTCCTGTGCTCGAGTGGTAGCGATGATGCCTCCGTCCCGTAAAGCTCAGCCACTCTGCCTTTCTTTTTTTTTTTTCTTTCCTTTTCGTTCGGGTCCCTTCTCCCCTCGAAAAAATTTTTTTCTTTTTTCTTTTTTTTACTCGCCACCGCAGCTGCACCAGCAAGAATCAACAATGGCAATTAAAAAAAAAAAAAAAGAACGCACGCAAATAAAAAAGAAAAAAAAAAAAGACAAGGATACAAAAAGAGTTTTTGTGTGTATTTGTGTTTCCTGTAGCTTGCCCAGCCGTCACGTGCTCACGCAAAATCCCTAATCTTCGTGTGTGTGTGTGTGTATACAAGAGCCAGGAGGAGGGAAAAAAAAAAAAAAAGCATACGTGTAATTCAACCAAGACATGAAAGAAAAGGTAGAGACAAAACGTGCGTGGGAAACACGCTCTTCTTCTTGCGTATTCTCGTGATTTTCCCAGTCGCCCTCCTAAATAATTTTTTTTTCTCTCTCGTTCTTCATCGTCTTCTTCTCTCACGCTCGCCCCCTCGTCAATTCCTCCGTGAAATCGACCGCATTTCTATCCGGCACCGTGTGCCCCCCGACGCCCCACTCCCGCCTTACCGAAATCGCACCACCAGGCGCACACTCCGTTCTGCAATGCGCATCACCGACTTCAGTTTCTCCGCAGGGCATCCGTTTATCATCAGCAGGCGGTCACTGCGAAGTCTGAGCAGACGCTGTAGTTGCGTGGTGTGCCGCGCGTCAAGCGGGGTGATCTTTTCATCACCCGTCATCCACGCGGGATTGTAACGCATCCTCATCGCCGCACTCGGCAGGGGTCGAGTAAACTTCTCCAAAGCGCCCAATCTTGAAGGGGAAATTGTCATGGCGTCCTTCTTCTTGTTCTTGCCGGCCGCAACCACCTCCAGGACGAAGGGCCATGGAACACGTATCGAGGGGCGCAGCAGCTGCACCTTCGCATCCGTCTCACCACATGGCAATGCGTCAACGGCGTTGAATTCCGCCCCCAATTCCCCTCCACAACAACGGAAGTGCCACGTTAACCCTGCCTGATTTTCCTGTTCCTCAGGCAATGGCTCTGCTCCTGCACGCGCCTGCTTTTGCTTCTTCTTCTTCTTCCGAACAGGCGGATCGGTTGATCCTTCGGCTGAAGATGCCTTCAACGATTCGCATGCATGCGTAGCGCCGTTGCGGTCCGTTGCCTTTTCCAGCTTTAATGGCTTCCATGACATCACCGCATGCAACACTGGATCGTGTTCCAGCGGATCCTCCGACCCTGTGGCCGGTGCCGACAAACTTGAGGCCGCGGTAGAAAGAGGAACAGACGAAGCACTGACTCCATCGACTGCCGCCCTCTCCGTCGCCGCGTTGGCTTTAGCCGCCTGAGAGAGTGCGGCAAAGACGGACTTGAGGCTGCAATGCGGTGCGTCATCGAGATTTGAATTAGTATGCTGCCTTTGCTCTGGCTTACGGGCCAATACACGAAACTGGGTGACAAATCGCTTGCGATGCTGACTCGTCTCCAGTGCACGAGACCCAGCAGCTATGGCCAACGCACACAATTCATGCGCCAGCGACGATGGTGATGACGAGGGTAGGAACGCTGTCGTCACACCACCGGGCTGTTGTTTGCCAAACGCCGCGTAACGTCGCATGAGAATCTCAAACTGCAGAATTAACACCAACGCCATTCGTACGCGCGTCATTTCCAAAAAAAGCAAATTTAACTGCCGTGCAAACCCGTCAGGCGACGAAACACCAGCGCCTACTCTCACCCTCGCATTGGTTCTCTCCAGCTCTATTGGCTTCAATTCAGACGTCCCCTCCTTTAGCAACGCTGCGAGACGCGGAGACGACGTCGTGTAGACAAAATGATGTTCACCCAAAAATGACAGTGGCTGTTGGTTTAACCATGACATGCGCACCGAGGAAGTCGCAGCGGAAGAAGAAAAGGCAAGAGCCTCCCGTGCTGAGCTCAAAACATCCGATGGAATGCTAAATAGCCTCCGCACCTCCGCCTCCTCCACACCAATATCAGCCAACAGAGCGGCTTCGTTCAAGCACAGAGCCGCGGCGTTCCGCATGATGCATTTGTGTTCCTTGTCCACAACCTTCCAGAGAAAGGAGCGTAATCCCCTCTGTATGGCGGCATCTTGTATGACCTCCAGCAAGTGTTCCGACGCCACACGTGCCGACCAGGGAAATCTGATCTGAGAGGAGGCTGCGACCTCCTCAAGTGTTGCCCCGTGTTCCAAAGTAGCATCGCCCAAAGCGCCTGAGGTAACGTCCGTCGTCGCGGCGGAGGGAGAAGATGGAAAAAAAACAGAAGAAGCAGCGTCATAAGGCTGATCAATTCGACTGTAACGAAGTGCATGTCGCACACACGCCGTAAGAACTGTGTGCAAAACAAGGCATGCCTGCGTGGGGCCATTTAAGGTGCCCGTGCGTCCAGCCTGTTGCTCCACAAACGATGCCACACCCGAAGCCACGCGTTGCGGAGTTGACCGCTGAGATTGAATAAGGGAGTCACCACTCTTGGCGTCCCTGCTGTCGTCTACCCCTGTGTTCTGTAATCCGTCCCCAATTGATTGAACCGATTCGCGCTTGCCACCGGGCATCTGACGGTGACCAACCGCGGCAAGTAACTCCTCCACCGGGGGCACAGAATCCGTCGATGATGATGGTGCCACATGCGGTCCGTCGAAGTGTGCCTCTGAGATCGCTCCCGTGCACGCCCTTGACTCCGATGCATATTTACTTGGCAGACCACGTCGCTTGAGGTGGTTGTCGACCCATGCCAGGGTCAGGAGTGGTCCCGACATGAATGCACTGAGTGCACGGAGAGGGAAATAGAAATAAAAGAAAAAAAAAGACACAGTCCGCATGAACCGAAAAAGTATCGACAAAAACAACATATATATATATATAGGGAGAGAGAGAGAGAGAGAGGAAGGGAGTTGTTTTGCAATGCGTCCACACTAAATTAAAAAAAAAAAAAAAAAAAACAGAAAATGTGGTAGTGGCATTTTGTTCTCCTTGTCGTTTTTATAAAAACCAATAAATAAATTTTTTTGAAAAGCAGCCCATACACACACACAAAAAAAAAAAATGCAGCTCTGATGAACGCATTTAACCAATTTTCCTTTTTTATTTTTTATTGGTGTCTCCCCGTGTATCTGTGGATATTTATGGTACCTCCCGGTATCTGTGGCGGATGTGAACAGATCCGTGCCTTTTCACTGTTCACTTTTTTGTTTTTGTTGTTGGATCCTTTTTTTTTTTTTTTCTTTCCCCCTTTCTTTGGGAATTTGGGTTGTGATGTTCGCACAACACCAATCTATTCGTGAAATCACCACCTTCTATGAAATTTAATCTGCATGTGAAGGGCATGCTTCATGATATCCATCACCTCCGGCAACCGTGCGGCGGGAGTACCATTGACGCTCATGATGCTCCAGCCGCCTTTATGGGACGTGAACAGCTTGTGAAACGGGTGCTGCAGCTGTTGTGGATCCATAACAAGGGGTAAACCAACCACCCGGATCGCTCGGCTTGCGTCTTGTCCCACCCGCTCCATTGACAAACCCCATTTCTTCTCGGCAGACTGACGACTGAGAAACATCTCATCTAGAGTGAGCAGATTTAACGTCACATCGTTTGGGAACTTGAGTGGGCCGGCGGTGACAGCTGCAGCGCCGGAGAGCTCCACAGGCGGCTGTTGCTTTTGCTGTTCCCTCTCCTCCGACTGTGAAGACAATGGTGACGGAGATGCTTCATTAGCCCCCGCCTTTGGCACGCGCTCCCCCGGCCCATCAGCATCCAAGGAGGGGGTGAAATCGTCACACAACACCGCGGCGACGGGTGTGCTTTTGACTACATGACTCCCCGTGCAATGACCTCTAGCAGGGGTATCGGCACTGTCAGTCGCCTCTTCCTTTGCATCTGGAACATGCAGCTCCTTTTCCGTTTTTAAATACCCTGAAAAGATAGGCACAAGTGGCTGCTCTGAAAGAGTGGAGCGATCAACGTCACGCAAAATTGTTTCTTCCAGTGCCTTCTGCAAATTCACCCCACTCGTTCCCGCTCTCTTTGGCGCCTCCTTTCCTAAGGGACGTGAAGGGGTGGTGCACTCCTGCTCCTGCGCAGAAGACGCCACAGTTGCGTTTGACAATATTTCTCGTGGTGGATCCATGGGACTCTCGTATCCAACAATAGTTTTCTCTTTTTTATCCCGCAACTTAGGATTAGGCCTCGATTGCCTGTCCTCTACTCTAGCCAAAAGCGGATTACTCGTGGAAGCCACAACTGCCTCGCTGGGGGCAGCCAGCGGGTGTCTGCCACAGCTCTCGAGAATGGCAACATCTTCAGAACCTGGCCTCCCGCTACCACACTGCTCCTCCGTCTCACTGCTGTTGACTTGCGACGCTACCGGTGGCGCTCGCTCTTCCTGCTGATCCACATCTTGTGGTGTCAACAGCGATGAGGACGGTGGGATAATCTGCAGGTCAAGCACAATCGTGTTGACCATGGAGCTCAACGCCTCCACCTGGGCTGCACTCACCATCTCCACTCCGTTTATTCCAAAGATGCGTACCCGTGTGGGATAACGCGCAAAAAAAGCCTTTGCCTCTGGTGAGAGAATACCAGAAGGGACACTCATGACAACAAGTTTGCGCGTGATGGCCAGATCCCACGAGACGCTAAAATTATCACGGTGAAGAACCAACGTTGCAACGGGCAAATTCTGAGACTCCTGCTGCTGCTGTGGCTGTGACGCTTCTGGCTGAGTGGAATAAAAGGCCAACTGTTCCACAGTCGGTATACTATCGGAGACAGGCTGTACTTTTATGAACAGGCGTTTCTGCGTTGGTGTTAGTGCATCTAACTTCTCGGCCGCCTGTGTGCTGTCCAGATTATTGAAATCCGTCTTTTTTAAATTACACGCAATGGGCGAAAGCCCGCCCTTGCTTGCTTGCATGAACTGATGCAGTTTATCCCCCACAATAGTTGCCGACCGCACCTCCGCACTCAACCCCACCAATTTCCCGCTTTGATTGAATCGTAGCCCCCAATGGGAGTGTCTATCGGGGCGAAGCAGCGTGAACTGCATCTTCTTTGGTTCAAACGACTGCACCCATGCGCCAGGTTTAGTCCTTGACGTAATCTCCGTCTCCAGCACCCAGTCCCCCAGCTGGTAGTACTGTTCGTATGCCAACGGCAACAGTGCAACGGGGACGTGTGAGGAGCCCATGGCCCGTGCGCACGGAAAAGTCACAAGAAGACGACGATAAAGGGCCTCAAAGTCGTCTAAAAGCATCGTCGTTACTCGCAATGCCTGTAGCTCCTTGGGTGTATGAGGAAATGCATCCCAATCGACCCCACCAACCAACTCCTCCTTCACCCGTTGACGCAGCCTTGCAACAGCCAACTCGATACGCAACTGTACACTCGGGCAGGTGAGTACATGTAGCCCCTCCATAATCATCGTGCCGGACACAGATCGATTCATGATGGCCGTATTCCAATCGTAAAGAGGGAGACTGCCCTCAGAAGAAACAGCATCCACTGTCCGAGCGGCGGAATTGCCGTTTTTATTCAGGGCCGCCGGATCGATCTTTGAAAAGGGGGATTCCTGGGGTGATGCACATGTCGCCCCCATCTCATAATAATACGCTACAGGCAAAGGAGAAAAAGCCAGACGAACATCATTGGCCAGCGCCAACAATGCTCCACGCGGTGTGACATCCTCATCTACTGGCAAATCTGCACGAGCCGTAAGACTGTCCATAACCTCTGCTACCCGACGTGCCAGGCGTAGTGAGTACGGATCTCTCTCTGAATGTGAATGCCGGTAAAAAGGGGAAGAGCGAAGTACACACAAATAATTGTTAAGATCTGTCCATTGCCGTAATCGCTCCCAAGTTGCAAGAGCATCCTCAAGGAACTCCTGCGGTACATGCAGTGGCATACCCCTCCTCTTCCCTTGCGTTTTATGTATATCCCTCCTTCTTTATTTTCTATATATCCGTGCGTATATCTGTAAACAGATTTGATGTAGACACGTAATGGTTTCCAAAAGTTACGTGCAGTCTGTGTGTATATGATGATTGGAAGGGGTAAAAAAAAAAAAAAAAAAATGAATTGAAGATTACGGGGAAAGGGAAAAAAAGATACAACTCAACGCAAAAAAAAATCCCTTTTTAACTTCTTTTGATATAAATATATGTGTGAAATGTGTGGCCCTCGTCACTCCTATTTGTGCTGTCAGGACCCAAAGGAAAGGCAACGAGACAAAATAAAGGAAAAAAAAAAAGAAATAAAAATAAAGCCATTGAGCAAATTTCAAGGGGGTTTTTTTTTCCCACCAGTCAAAAAATTTATAAATACATACATATATTCGGGAAGTACGAGCTTTGCAGTCAGTCAACAATAAAGGGGAAAAAAAAAAAGAAACCCCACAGATAACTTCGTAACAATACAACACGGAGATACCTCAAATCTGGATGCATGTATGAAACGCATAGAGCACTGGTAATAATACCCCTATGAAGGGCATCCCTGTCGCCTAATAGGCATAAACACACAAAAAAAAAAAAAAAAAAGAAGGAGAGAGAGAGAGAGACAACAATACTGTTGAACAATTACATGCACCTCGTATATATAAACACACATTCATGTAAGAATGCAAACACGCAAACTTTTTTCTTTGTACATGTACATATACAAGTTTTTGTTGTTCTTGTTTATTTTATTTTCTGCGGGTGAGTGGGTGGGTAACAATAATAAACATCGTGGAATTCACACATAAAACCACAAACAAATCGTCAAGCAAAAGAAAGAAGAAAAAAAATATATTTTGACAGGGATAAGAAGGAGGGAATCTGTGCTTGACTTGGCAAGAATAAAAATAAAAGCCCTGTGCACCAACAACTACATGCGAGCATATGTATATGTGTGCATGCATCAGGCTGAGGCCTTGTCCTCGTATCCCCACCGAGAGTAAGAGAACACAACAAAAAAGAGAGACGACAGCTCTTGGCTCCCATGCGCCCTACACCCCCCCCCCACACACACACACACAAGCTCGTCGAAAACCCTCCACCCCAGAGTAATACATCATAAAAACAAAGAAATCCATGAGACTTATATTACGACAAGAGGTTCCTTTTTCCCACGTGCCTTCCCGAATAAATCCGAAAACCTGCACGTCACCCATCATCGCAGAGCGCGTCCGCCCTACTCGGTGGGGATGTGAAGGAAAGCCCCGGCCCCCCGAAGATGGAGCTGCAGCGGAGGTCGTGAAACACATACATTTGTTTCGCATCTGCGAGGGGCATTGTGCCTTCTCGCCGCGCAGAGGTACTGCTGGAGGGGGACAGAGCCCTTTCCGCCTCTCCGGTGATAACTGGACTTGCTGTGGGCCCACGAGGAGGCGGTCTTTTAAAGGCCACCCGCAGTCGCCTGAATCCCCCCTGCGTGGAAGCCGGTAAGGGCTGAGCGCAACAAAAAAAAAAAAATTGACTGCTGTCGTGCCGCATTCCAACGCGTTACCATCTTCGTTGGCCCCCATCTAATCGTAAATCCACACACACATGCCCCCAAGGGAAAAAAAAAAAACGCCTTTGAAAAGTTTATTTGCGTGTTTTGTGAGTCACAAAACATCCGCGCCGCCCCAGCCGCTCCAAAATCCTTGGAGGCATCACAGCCGCGCCAGTCGCGGGATGGCATCCAGATCAACGTTACCGCCTGTCAGTACAATGCCAACGCGCCTGTAACGCGACAAGGCCTCCGGACGCGTCAAAACGGCAGCCACGGCCGTCGCGGCATTGTCGTCAATCACCAGCTTGCAGCGTTCATAAACAAAGCGAAAGGCGTGGCGTTTTTGCTCTTGCGTGACCTTTATCACACCGTCCACGTGGCGATTGATACACTGCGCGACCATTTCGTTTAATGGCATGAGAATTTTCTGCGCCACACCACCAGCGCCATTTTCTTCCCTCCTGCTGTCCTTTACATCGGTGGATCCCTTCTTGTTGACAGCAATGATAGGCCCGTGCTCGAACTCACACTCGGGATCTGGTGTTTCACATTCTGCAGCGTAGACGGCTATGTTTGGCTTCATACCTTTCACAGCGAGGGCTACACCCGCCAACAGGGCACCTCCCATCGCCGGCACCACCACCAAATCTAAGCGCCCATCTGTCTGCAGCATAAGCTCCACCCCTACCGTTCCATGGCCCGCAACAAGCCACTCATCTTGTGGGTGTACAAAGACACAGCTGTTTACACCATTCCTTTGGCTGGTGTTATTATTTTCACTTACAAGCGCTTGTACGAGCTTCATCTGCTCTTTCCGTGAGGCGCCACAGCGATAGGCCTTACCATCATAATGTGCAATAGCCTTCACAGTAACCTCATTTGTGCGCTCGGGGATCACAATAT